CGCAGGAGTCCAGAACCGCAGTGCTCGGAGGGCCACAGATGCTTTGGGGCTCTGCGCTGTCGGGCCCCGTTGCACACACACTCCTTTTGCTTGCCTCCTACTCCTGCCTCCGGCTTTACTGACTGATGCTCCTCCACACTGTTTGGTCCTAGGCTGCTGCCGACCGCTCCAGATAGGGCCAGATATCCCGGAGGCCCTCAGTCCTCTTCGGGTGTGGCCTGTCCCAGACCAGTCCCCAAGACTGGTATGAAAGGCACGTGATCAGCTCTTTAGTGATTTCAGCTTTACTGGAAACAGTCTAGGTATGGGACCCATGGGGTGTGCGCACACCACCGCTCCTCCCGAGACGGCGAGGAGGAGGAGGTCAGCTCCATCGTCCAGCAGAGCTGGATCTTCTTTCCTCACAAGAGTCTCTGAGTAGGTGCCTCTTGGCATCAGGTTCATAGTCTTTATACTGCTCTTGGCCCGCTCTGGTTAGGCTGACGAAGGTGAAAAGTTTTGACAAGGGTCTTTGATACTGTCTTATGTTCTCTCTGTTTAGAGGTGTTATTTTGATTCTTTATTTGCATGGTTGGTCATTGTTTTAGGGATTTTTGGTATGTAATCCTTTTCTGCTAAGTCCTATGGGAGTTTCATATTTGCTTATTAGGTGACATAATCATCTTCTTTATGGTCTCGGGTCCTTCACCATTTTAGATACGAGTGGGAGCAGCGGGGGTAATACCCAACAGTAAGGAGATTTATATAATTATAAAACCTTTAACAAGCAATTAAAAGTAACATTGGAACTTTACATAACTATAAAACATTAAACAAACAATCTAGAACTGTCATTGGAACTTTATATTAACTCCTTGAACAATGTATTCTCTACAACACTGTGGGAAGTTGTGGAACCAAGGGGATCATTGTGGCACTGTTGGGGCCCATGGAACCAAGGAGCCAGTGTGGAAACCAGAGGCCACTGTGAGCCTGTGGGTTGTAACAACCCAGAACACTGAAATGCTGGAGGCAACCAAAGGCTCCTTTACTCGTGTTTGGTGCACTGGTGAAACACCAGCCAAATATGCACAAGAGGTCAAAATGACACAAAATTTTACTGGCAAAGTACTAAAAATCAAAAAACTTTGGAAGAGGTTTCAATGCAACATCCAATTACACAGAAAACATTTATCATAGCAGTAACTTCATTAACTTAGCTCATTTCACCTAGAAACCTTTAAACACGTAAGCTGTTGAGGTACCCAAAAATGTTCTATATGAAGAGCATTAGAAGGAGAAAAAAGAGAGACAGAAAGACAGAAGCTCTATAGAAAGACATGCATATGACTATCAGTTCCTAGGGTTCCAGCGTGGGTGAGAGACAAACCCCAGGAGAAGGCAGAGTCCATACCAGGGGCTGACCTTTTGCTTGGTGTTTTTAAGCCCCCAGGCCTTTGTGAGCCTCCCCTCAGGTGGGATTTCGGATTGCTTGGGCAATCAGGGCTGGGTTAGCTCTGTCCCCACTGTGTGACTGATTGACAGCTCATCCCACGGTGTCTCAGGACATTGATCTCATCCAGCCTCTGACCCAGTGACCATGGTGACACCGGGAAACCCCATGCAACCATGGGTCGGTCAGTTGTGACCAGGTGGGTCCAAGGACACAATGGTGACACTGGGGAACCTCATGGAACCATGGGTCAGTTGTGACAATGTGGGTCTGTTCAAGATTGCAATGCAAGACGTTTTCTATTACCATCTGTATGGCAGATTATCTTTTGTCAAGTGGGCAGTTTGCCTTATCTCTCTCTTTGAGTGGCCACAATGACTCCTCCCTCATGAGAGGACATCTGCTGATAACAGACTACTGAATGTCTCTGCATGACTGATAAGAACTATAACATCCCATTGTGAGATGTGAGCCCAGAGGGAGGAGCCAAGCATTGCTACCCAGATATAATCCAGAGGTTGTTGAGACACCAGCACAGCTTTCTCCATGGGATTCCCCAGAGGAACAGCAGCTGTCTCTTCTCCCATTGAGTCTTCGGAGGAAGAATACATCCTTCTCTACAGATCCCCCTTGCTCCAACAGAACCACACCTGACACTTCAGGAGGGCTGCAGCCACATTTCCAATTGGACTGCCACCAACACCCTGACCCACAGGGTGTCAGGTTGGGTTCTGACTCTGTCAGTGTTGTTCTAGTGTACTGCACTGTTTATTTTATCCTTTTATTTTTTTCCCTTTCCCTGTTAAAGAACTGTTATTTCCTGCTCCCATATTTTTGCCTGAGAGCCCCTTAATTTAAAATTTATAGCAATTGAGAGGGGTGGGGAGGATTTACATTCTCCATTTCAGGGGTGGCTCCTGCCTTCCTTAGCAGACTCCTGTCTTTGCAAAACAAGACAGTATTGATCACATTGACCGGGTCAATGCTGTGGGTATTGATCACCATGAGAGGGTCAATGCTGTGGGTATTGATCACACTGACAGGGTCAATGCTGTGGGTATTGATCACCATGAGAGGGTCAATGCTGGTTCTGCTGTACGGGACACACTCTTGGGGTGGGCACTGGTCCCACTTTGAATAAATGTTGGGCAGGATGAAAGTTTTACAAGGAACTCTCACAGATATGTATGCATGGCAGAATGATTTTTAAATGTAGAATCTGATGAAGGAATAGAAATGAAAGCAAGTTTTGATATAGAAGAAAAGAATTACCGAGCCAGTCTTACTGGATAACCAAGAAGGCAAAGAGTGTGTTTGTTAGAAGGGGTTTTTATGACTTAGAGCAAAGGATAAACCCACCTCAAACAAGAAGATGTTTTTACCAAGCAGGAAGATAGCACAGGCAAACAAGGCAGCAAAGCTGCAAGTAGAAAAAAGGTCTCAGAATTTTCCACTGCAAGAAAACTGAAAAACAACTTCTAGTCTAAAATGTGATGTACTAACTTTTAGTGATTGGAGAACAGTAACATGAATATGGTAATTGTAGTCGTTATGATAGCCTATAGATAACAGTTAAGGTATAGATTGGGTCTACTGTATAAAGATGCTCAGAAAAGAAGAGTATATAATATAATAACAGTAAACAAATATAATAAATAGATAAGAAAATATATCATAGAACTCTTTTCGGAAATATATAACTAAAAATATAAAATATACATATGTTAAAATAATAGCAAGAAATTAAAATAAAAAATACATTAAAAATAAAAAATAAAATAAAAATATATTATTAAAATACAATAATTCTTTAAAAATATAATAAAGGTATATAATATATGCAAAACCAAAGTGTCTCCAGGCCTGCCTGCAGCTGGAGCTGACTGCTGTGGGCACAGCTCAGTCACCCATGGCCCTGGACTGCTGTGACACCTTGGATGGAATAAACTGCATTTTCTGTACAATAAACTGCATTTTGTACACAATAAAGTGCATTTTGGGTACAATAAACTACATTTTGTTTACAACAAACTGCATTTTGGATACTATAAACTGTATTTTCTATACAATAAACTGCATTTTGTGTACACTAAACTGCATTTTGGAGAGCAGCCTGGAGTCCCACATCCCTCATTCAGCTCTCACAGGTGTGGGTGATGAAGATGAAGCTGATGATGATGATGATGATGGTGTGAGCAGTGTCATGGTGACGCTGTCAGTGGTGTTGGATGAGGAGGATGTTGATGATGGATGTCACCATAGTGCGGGTGCTGGGATATGTGATGATGATGATGATGATGATGATGATGATGATGAAGAAGATGCTGTGAGCAGTGTCCCAGCCTGTCCTGCCCAGGAAGGTAGAGGCAGCCCTGGGAGGCCCAGAGTGGCTCCACTCATGGTGGAAAAGAAACCAGAGACCCCCAGGGCTGGGTGAGGGGGGGCAGACACAGGGACAGACAGACAGACAGGGGATAGACACAGGGACAGACAGAGGGACAGACAGACATAGGGACGGGGAAGAGACACAGGGACAGGGACAGACACACGGACAGACAGAAGGACAGACAGAGGGACAGGGGCATGAGCACACACCCATCCATATGAGAAAAGCACCCATGAACACACAGAGTTGCTTTGCTGAAGGGTTTATTGATTATTGATAATTGATTGTTGATTATCAATCATTGATTATCAATTATCGATTATCGATTGTTCCAGGGCCATTCCTAGGCTCCCAGGGCGCCTCTCCAGGGATGATCAAATCCTGATGGCCTGACAGGGACAGGAGCTGAGTGTGACCCCAGGGTGACCCCAGGGTGACCACAGTGTGTCTCCAGAGCCCCCCAGAGATATCCAACCCCCCCAGAGCCCCCCAGGACCATCCCAAACTGGGGCAGGCTGGGGGGCACTGGGGGCTCTGGGATGTCCTCAGTGCCATCCCCAGCACAGAGGATGCTCTGAGCCCAGCACTGGTCTATACTGGGATGCACTGGTCTATACTGGGATGCACTGGGGTGCACTGGGATGCACACTGGTCTATACTGGTCCATATTGGGATGCCCCCAGTGCCATCCCCAGCACAGCTCCAGGTACCCACCTCAGCCCTCTGCACTCCGAAGCCTTTGGGTTTCTGCAGAGAGGGGGCAGAGGGCCCCGGGGTCACCACAGGGTCACCGGGGTCACTGCGAGGTCACCAGCCCAGCCGGGCGGGGGGCTCAACTAACCCCCTGTATCCCCCAGTTCCCCCCAGGTCCCCTCATTCCATCCCAGTCCATCCCAGTTCCCTCCAACTCCCCCCAGTCCATCCAAGTTCCCCCCCTAGTTACCCCAGTTCCCCCTAGTCCATTCCAGTCCATCCCAGTATCTCCCAGTTCCCCCCAGTAATCCCTAATTCTGCTCAGTTCATCCCAGTATTCCCCAGTTCCCCCAGTATCCCCCAGTTCATCCCAGTATCTCCCAGTCCATCCCAGTTCCTCCCCAGCCCATCTCAGTATCCCCAGCCTATCCCAGTCCATCCCAGTCCATTCCATTTCCCCCAGTCCATCGCAGTTCCCCCAGTCTCACATTGATGCAGCCTCGAATGCCTCCCACGATCCCGGACTGCAGGGGCAGATCAAAGGGGATTTGAGATTGGGATTTGGGGTTTGGGGGATTTTGGATTATGGATTTGGGGATTTGGGATTTGGGAATTTAGGAGTTTGGGGATTTGGTGGATTAGGGATTGGGGATTTGGGGATTGAGGGATTTGGGGATTTGGGGATTTTGGGGGTTTGGGGGATTTGGGGGGTTTGGGGATTTGGGGGCTGTACTGGGATGTCCTGGGCTATACTGGGCTATACTGATACCCACCTGGCCATCACCAATGCCACCGATTTGCTGTGGGGAGAGCAGGAGATGTCCCCAACATCACTGGGGTGTCCCCCATTGCCCCCCATTGTTCCCCATTGCCCCCAGTGCCCCCCATTGCTCCCCAGTGCCCCCCTAGTCCATCCCAGTATCTTCCAGTCAATCCCAGTGCCCCCAGAACATCCCAGTCCATCCCAGTGCTCCCAGTCCATTCCAGTTCACCTAGTCCATCCCAGTCCATCCCAGTTTCCCCAGTCCATCCCAGTCCATTCCAGTGTCCCCAGTCCATCCCAGTCCATTCCAGTGCCCCCCAGTCCATCCCAGTCCATCCCAGTGCTCCCCAGTCCATCCCAGTCCATCCCAGTTCATCTCAGTTCATCCCAGTCCATCGAAGTCCATCCCAGTACCCCCAGTGCCCCCAGTCTCACTCCAGCACAGATCACTCCGCTGCCCTCCATGTTGGCCTGGGCAGGGATAGCAAAGTTTGGTCAGGGGATGGGATGAGGCGCCCCAAAAGGATGGGATGGGATCAATGGGCGGGGATGGAATGGGATCAATGGGATCAATAGAATGGGATGGGGTGGGATTAAGGATGGGATCGGGAATCCCAAAGGAATGGGATGGGATCCATGGGATGGGATCCATGGGATGGATGGGATGGGATTTTTGGGGAGACCCCAGCCCTGAGCCCAGCCCAGGGCCCTGCAGCCCCCCTCACCTGGCTCTGAGCTGGCAGGCACAGAAGGATGGAGAAGAGCAGGGCCACGCTGAGCACAGCCACCTTCATCTTCCTCTGGCTCTGGGCAGCGCTGCCTGAGGCTGCAGCAGGTGAGGAGCACCTTTATCCCTGCCGGGACTCCTCCCTGCACCCTCCCTGCCAGCCCCAGGCGAAAGCCCGGCTTGGCACAACCCCCAGCCCGGGCCACAAGCCCAGCCCTGGCACAGAGCCCATCCCACCCCACCTGTGGCACGGATCCAGCCCCCTCGCCCGGCATCCCTCCAGCTTCCTGCACGGGGCAGCTGCCCCTGGAAGGGCCCAGGCACCTGGGGGGCCAAGGGGAGCAGGCAGGGAGCCAAAGGCACCTGGGCACCCTGTGGGGACAACCCCCAGTCCAACGCAATCCATCCTCCAACAGCTCCCCAGTCTCGGGGTTTTGCTGCTAAGGGTGACCCCAGATGTGGCACAAAGTATCTTTTCCCATCCTGGCAGTCAGAGGAGTCAGAGCTCTTCATTTCTCGTTCCTGAGGTTGCTTATTGTTTTTTATCTATAAAATTCTTTCTCTGCCTGCCCAGGTCCACTCAGCAAGACAGTCCAGACACTCTACCTCCTTTGGGGTGATGTTATATTTTTATATATTTTTATTTATACTTTATATATTTATATATTTTATAGATATTTATATATTACTATTTACACATATATGTTACAATTTTTACATATTTTTACATATTTATATATATCTTATATTTGTATTTTATTAATATATATTTTTTATATTTATAGACATAATGTTTTTATCTATTTATGTATTCTATTTTGTATATATTTATACATATTTATATATATTTATATTTTATTTATATATTTATTTATAATTATATAATATTTATTTATCTATTTGTTTATTTATGTATTTTAGATTTCTATTTTTTTGAAAACTACGTGTAAAATATTTACAATTCCTTCCCAATACCCATCACCTACATTAGACAGTGAGCTTCTACCCTAAACTAACCCAAAAGTGCCACCATCACCCAGACGATGGACGCCAAGAAGAAGAAGAAGGACAAAGGCCGGACACACCCAGATCCCCCCATCTTGCCCCCTGAACCCCCACTCTAAAAACCCCAAAATTCTCCATTTTCACCCTGTGACAAATTCACTCGCATTCCACTCAAACTCTCTTGCCTTGTAATTCTTCCCATCAAGGTGGGGATTTGATCCAAGGGTCACAATCCCAGTCCCAGCTGTCCTGGGCTCTGTGCCCAGGGCTCTGAGCCCCCCTTGAGCCATCCAAGACAGACAGATGGACATGCTGGGGCCTGACAGCCCAGGGGAGATCCCCTGCCTGCCGCAGTGTCCGACCCAGCCCAACTGGATCCTGCTGGATCCCCCAATACAACCCTGCTGGATCCCCCAATCCAACCCTGCTGGATCCCCCAATCCAATCCTGCTGGATCTCCAAATCCTGCTGGATCTCCAAATCCAATCCTGCTGGATCCCCCCAGTCCTGATGGATCCCCCCAATTATGATGGATCCCCCGAATCCCACTGGATCCAATCCAATCCTGCTAAATCCTCCAATCCAACCCTTCTGGATCCCCCAAACCAATCCTGCTCCTGTGCGCCATGGAGAGAGATTTGGGGATCAGAATCTAATTTTATTGTGGGATACAATAAATACATAATAATATATTGGGGATATATCATTATATATTTTTAGATTTTCAATATTATTAATATTAAAGTATTATTATTTATTAAAATTTTAAATCCTATAATAACTATTATAATGTATATTAAATTATATAGTATACATATTTTAATAATATAAAATTATATACTACTGAATTATATAATTATAAATGATATCTCTTATTTATTAAATTATTATAATCGTTTAACTATCATTAATATCATCTATAATTAAATTATCAATATTATTACTATTAAAATGTACTATAATATAAATAATAAATATATAATATTTATTAGATATAATAAACATAATCATTAGATATTTTTATAATTAATATATATTTATCTATAAAAATATATATTAAATTTACATAGAATCATCTATATAATATATAGATTTATAACTATATGTTATTTTAATAAATATAATAAATACTTATAACACTACTAATATAATAGATATATAATAATATCCCATTTCAGGGAGACCAGCAATGTGTGCTGCAATGATTGGGTAACAATCACACACACAAATTTATGCAAATAAATAATAAATATGCTAAATAAATAGATAAATAAAATATAATTAATAGATGCAAATAAATATTAAATATGCAAATAAATACATTTGGCAGAGTTTAATGAGATTTTCTTTTTCTGCTGAACCTGTCTCATTTAATCTCCTTGCAATCCAGGTCTAATTTTCACAGCTCCCTTTGCTTTTGCCATCCTGGTATCAAATCTCTGCTGTTCCCCAGGCCCAGAGTCCATCCCCTGCCTGGTGTCCCCCAACATACCAACAGCTCCCAGAGCCCCAGGGCTGGCCCTGAGCAGGGCTCCCCTTCCTGCCCGAGGCTCCAGCCCAGCCCTGAGCCCTGGCAGGGGGAAAAATGGGATTTTATTATTGGCTTTGGGCAAATATTCACATGGAAATTGTATGTGCTGTGTCAGAAAGTTGTGCTGGGTTAACTTTTTAGTAGTTTGGTAAATCTAATTTTAGGGTAAAACATAATGTTAAAATAGAAACTCTGCTATGTGAGATACTTTTTTTAAAGAAAGGACTTGCACTGAGATAGCAGCTACAGGACACCTAAATCTTTCAGAGAATTTATTGGTTTCTTATCATAAAAAATGAACTTTTTCCCACCTTGAATGTGCTGTTAAAATTCAGAGGAAGAGGCTGACACTGACCAGACAGAATCGTGTGTTTGAATGGAATTTATGCATCATGTATGAGGGGTATGAATATGCAGCAGGTTATTGCTTTTAAGGGTTAATCCTCTGTTAATGTGGGTCCTTTCTTGTGCTAATTTTGCCCAGAAAAAGGTACCCCGACTGTCCATAACTCTTTGTTTTTATTTTCTCATATTGTCCTAATCCAAATTATCCAAATTATTACTACTCTAACTGCATTGCTATTTTTATAACCATTTTATTACCATTAAACTTTTACAATTTCCAACTCAAGTTCTTTGCAGGGCTTTTCCCCAGGTGGCCCCGAGGGCTCAGAGCAAGGAGAGTCCCTGGCAAAATGCAGTTTATTGTACCCAAAATGCAGTTTATTGTACTCAAAATGCAGTTTATTGTATCCCCACCTCTGGCAGGGCTCCCAGAGCTGCCAGAGCCTCCATTGCCCATGGACACCCAGGGACATTTCCAGGAGATGTTCCCTGCTCGGGGACACTGCTGACACTGCGGGGACCTGGGATGGGACAGGGAGGAAACCCTGCAGGGCCTGTTTGCCTTGGACTGGGGAGTGCCAGCAGTGACCTGGAAGGGTTTAATTTTATCTGTGGGTGCTTTGTGCCTCCTTGGATGGAGAATTGAGCAGCCAGCAGTGACCTGGAAGGTTCCAGAAGGTTTTCCTGTTATCTGTGGGTGCTTTGTGCCTCCTTTGTTGGGGAATTGAGCAGCCAGCAGTGATCTGGAAGGTTTTCCTGTTGTATTTTGGTGCTTTGTGCCTTCTTGGTGCACAATTCAGGAATGGTGTTGGCTCAGGGACATTCCCAGGCCTGCACACCCCAGGGGCCGTTCCAGATTATCCCAGCCTTGGCTCCATGGCCTCTGCACTCACCTGCTCCTGGTTTGGGATCATTGGAAGATGGAAATGTTCCCAGTTTGGTGTCTGGGGCAGGGATGGGCTGGAGAAGTGATCAGGGAGAGGCTGAGGTGCAGTTGGTCCACCCTGGCCTGTGTCCCTGCCTCTCCCTGGCAGCAACCTGGAAAATTCCTGATTTTCCTCTCATCCATCCCGAGGGATTTTTTCCCCACTCAGGTTCCAAATCAGTTCCTGGCCTGGCTTTTTTCCCCAGGCTGTGACCACAGGGGGAACAGAGGAGCCTGATCTGCCCACATTTACATCTTCTGAGAGCCTGAATGAGGGATGTGGGACTCCATGCAGCTCTTCAAAATCGAGTTTATTGTCTCCAAAATCCAGTTTATTGTCTGGATTAATAATGACAATAGACCAGTGTGCATCCCAGTGCACCCCAGTGCATCCCAGTATAGACCAGTGCATCCCAGTATAGACCAGTGCTGGGCTCAGAGCATCCTCTGTGCTGGGGATGGCACTGAGGACATCCCAGTACTCCCCAGTGCCCCCCAGTCCCCCCCAGTTTTCCCCAGTTTGGGATAGTCCTGGGGGGCTCTGGAGGGTTTTGGGTGTCTCTGGGGGGCTCTGGAGACACACTGTGGTCACCCTGGGGTCACCCTGGGGTCACACTCAGCTCCTGTTCCTGTCAGGCCATCAGGATTTGATCATCCCTGGAGAGGCGCCCTGGGAGCCTAGGAATGGCCCTGGAACAATCGATAATCGATAATTGATAATCAATGATTGATAATCAACAATCAATTATCAATAATCAATAAACTCTTCAGCAAAGCAACTCTGTGTGTTCATGGGTGCTTTTCTCATATGGATGGGTGTGTGCTCATGCCCCTGTCCCTCTGTCTGTCCCTCTGTCTGTGTCTGTCTCTGTTTCCTGTCCCTCTGTCTGTCCCTGTATCTGTGTCTGTCCCCTGTCTGTGTGTGTCCCTCTGTCTGTCCCTGTGTCTGTCCGCTGTCCGTCTGTCTGTCCCTGTGTCTGTCCCCTCTCCATGTATCTGTCCCTGTCCCTGTGTCTTTTCCCTGTCCCTGCATCTTTTCCCTGTCCCTATGTCTGTCCATCTGTCTGTCCCTGTGTCTGTCCCCAGTCCATCTCTGTCCCTGTGTCTGTCCCCTGTCTGTCTCTGTCCCTGTGTCTGTCCCTGTGTCTGTCCCCTGTCCGTCTGTCTGTCCCATGTCCCTGTCCCCCCTCACCCAGCCCTGGGGGTCTCTGGTTTCTCCCCCACCCTGAGCGAAGCCACTCTGGGCCTCCCAGGGCTCCCTCTGCC